TGTATGTGTCTGTCTGTTGCCTTGGAGGTTCGACGCCTCGACTCAACAATGCAGCATCCTCCTTGCGGTTGTGTGTATGTGTGTGTGTGTATGTGCGTGTGTGTGTTCATGTGTGTGTTCATGTGTGTTTTTTTGTGTGTGTGTGTGTATGTTTGTATGTAGGTGTGTCCGTATGTATGTATGTATGTCCATGTATGTAAACCAGTATTCTTTTTATAATACTTTATGCAAAACATAGCCAAAATACCACTATAATCTGTGATCTTTCTGCATCAAACTGTAGCGGTTACTGCGAAAGCATACCATGCTATCACCTGAAATGTCTTCTCGGCGCTTTGATAGTGTTGGATGAAGTTGATTGTAGTGACCTAGATTATGTGCTTGCGCGATATGGATATGTGATACAGGAGAGCGCACGCACCACTAATGGTGTTGTCATGGTATCGTGGTAATCGTATACATATATTTACGCTATCGATATGTGCATACTGAGCGCGGACAACCCGAATTGAACGATACAGATTACACTCGTTCGTGACAAACCCTATATTGGAATATAATTTCCAGGGTTTGTGTGGCCGGTGGAGTTGTTGGCCCGTGACAGTCAGTGCATATTTTATTCCTGATTGTCAACACATATTTTTTGCAAATTCATGTTATTCGTCATGCGATTTCTGATTTTCGGCCGATACTGACACTTTACTGACACTTCTCCCTAATTCCGAACAGAGCCGTGGAGATATGGTGTCGTTGCTAACCCCACACGGAAATGTGAATGTCACAGGGGTATGTAACACGAAGTGCCTTTGTTCTATAAGTCGCTCAAACAACATATACTTTTATTGATGCCTCCCGAGTTTAATCGGCTACAATAGTACAAAGTCTACCCTGCAAATTGGAGTTGGTTTCTGGTGATGGGGGGGGGGGGGGTTTGGTGGAATAGGGTTGTTAAGACACGTTTTACTAAGTTTTAACATCGCTTCTGCATTGATTCCTCATACACTTTCTTGTCGTACAATGGTTGGGCTTCGTATTTGCTAATCTAAGTTCCTAACGTTCCGTTCAAGTGGAGTGTAACATTACATATGTTGGTGTATGTGGAATGTAGCATTGCATATGGTGAGGTATATATGTATGTGACTGTATGCATATTCATATTCTATATAGGCTGTTGCATTTCTCCGTATAGACCTGTCAGCTCTTTAAGTGCACCTTCGCTTATCACAGACTTGTTGAATCGACTCTATAGTGTATCAGTGCATATGTTGGGAGTATATACATATGTGACTATCTGTATATGCATTGTCTATACGAGCGTCGCAATCCTTCTTATAGACTTGCCAGCTCTTAGATGCATCCCTCTTATCACACACTTGTTGAATCGACTCCATCGCTCGTACGAGATTTGCCACAGTTTACTTCTATACCTTTTCTGTACTCCCTTGAGAGGCGAACTTGTATACCGTACGTAGTGCATACACACGTATCAGTATATAGTTGTAATACACATATGTATCCAAATATAGTTATACTACACACACATCAAACTAGAGTTATACTACACATACATATAAAATATAGATATTCTACACGGACATATCAAAATATAGTTATTACAATATTCATATCTGTTTTGCACTAGGTCTCACGGATTCAAGATGGCTTCAAGTATGTGGAGGTAGAGGGCATCGTGAACGATGACGGGTCTATGCAGGAGATGGCCGTCAGTAATCTCGGCGACAATTTCGGTATGTTTGAATGTCCTCACACCTTTACCATGGATGCCAATGCTGATTAGCCTCGCCCATAACATCAGCGAACTGTCTTAGTGGGCTTGGTGTTCGTGTACGGATCAATTCAACGAAGGGTTTTTTTTATTCTAAGGTTGTGAATTTTTGCCAAATGGTTGTCGGTAATCCGAAACAAGTACTTGCCTCTTGTTGCCGCCCAAATATAACCGCGGTTCCATAGCGCCGCTGTGGTGGCAGTTTACTGACCATAGAAACGCTAGCAGTGCATGTATGTGCAGTGGGTGGTGAGTTGTTGGCACTGTACGGTTAAGTAAGACGAAGCCTCCTGGATTCTGATACACCTTGAATCGTATAGTCTATATACAATACAAGTACTTGTATGGTGAAGTGTTGTATGGCTAAGTATGCGAAGTCTCCTGAAACCCTAAATATCCAATCGAGAAAGTGTGAGTACTAATTATACACAAGTGCTTCTATGTGTAGTATATTCATGGCAGTGTATGGTTATGAAGTCGAAACCCCCTCACCCTGAACACCTTCGTACAGTTTGAGTACGAGGTATCTGTAGGAACTTTCCCGCTCCATACCATGCTCTCCTGTTTCATTCCGCTTGTCACTTAGCTTTGCCATTTTTTTACTCGGCGATTCACGTCCATGTTTATTTTTCATACAGATCTGGAGACATACTACCAAGCCGTCAACTTAACTGATCGATTCCCAGAATTATTCAACCAATAAAATCTCGTATGCTTCCATACCAAATCTTCTTACGTTAGGTTCTGATATCCTTTCTGCAATTTTGTGACTATGGGAGCAGTTCAGATTTAGGTCCTTTGTTGGAAATCTATGCCTTTATAGTGAGGAAATCGCCCAATTGTAATTCAGCCCAATTGTAATTCAGCATTTTTGTATTGTCAACTACTGAAAGTTGTGATTTGTCTTTAGTGCGGCGCTCTACAGCGCAACGACCATTGGCCTCAGTCAATATCCGGCGGTACTCCAAACCTAACTTTGTAGTCTCTTTCAACAACCATCTACGAAATAGCAGGGAAACTTCAGAAAGGGAGTAGCCCATACTCGAATCATCTGTGTGCTTATCAGAAAAACTTCTTGTCCTTCTATCCAAGCACACATCCCTTTATAAGTTTGCGATCCGATCTGCAATTTATAGTCTTCTGAATGTTTGCGAGATGCCGTGCGTGCGCATCTACAAGCACAATACTTGCCAGCTAAACTTGGCACTGAAGCGGCAGTGGTAGTACATCTTACATCTTGAACCTTGTCCATGTATCGTGTATACCTTGTCTACACAGTACAAGGAGGTGTTGTACCTGTCCCATAACACAACTAATATTGTCATGATGATGCACTATTTAGCAGCATGATTGCACCCACATGATGAGATACGGTATCCAGTTGATGGGATTATGCAGCACTCGCTATACGCTACATGAGTCGACGTTCCTTGCACGGTTTGCTTTCGTATCCATAAATCCTAGACTCTAAACACAGCTTTTTTATAGCATAAGTAGGCTATGGTTGATTGAACCCTATATCCTAACCCATAAAGATTTTGGTGCAACCATTTTGGGACCTGGTCGCACAGTGGTGCAATCAGGCAGTATATATATCGGACAATACACCTAAAAGTACAATTACCGCACAGTTGTTCAGTGTATCTTCTTGTACTGATGATATAAAAAATGCACCATAAGCAATGATTGGGCAGGAATTTCCACAACTGGAGAACTGCAATGCTCACCAGGGAGATACAGAAAGTATGGTGGAATTCGAGCCGTAGTCAACGACCCTGGTAAAATCGATCTACATATACAAATGAGACCCCCGGGCTTCATAGTTCGACTCGTATTTATTGTGCTGATATCACAGATACTATATATGCATATATGCATATATACATTTACATATACACACGCATATATACATATATCTTATACACATGCATATATACATTTATATCACCATATAAAGGGCAGAACATCTCGCAGAACACCCACGCCCCGTTCCAACCATTCGTCCTTTTCGATCCAAAAACTGTCCAGAATTTCCAAACGCGCCAAAATCGAGCCCCCTTTCCAAGCCATCATGCGCGCGTCCATATCCTTGGGACTTTCTATGACCTGCACCGCCTTTTGTGCACCCTTTCGGAATGATGGAGGTACGCGCGCATATAATCTGGTATGATGGTGAGAAAGATGAAGTGTAGGAAGTAAGGAATGGTTCCATATGATAATGGGAATCAATACGTGCAGATAATAACACTGAGAATACAACACGTTTAGACGCTGACGCACGGACCGATCTACGGTAAAACGTGGGTTGTGTGGG